TCTAGTGGTCATAGGTTTTGTTTTAGGGGCACTAACATGTGAAGGCCGGGAGTTGAGGGTAGGTTGGTTGTCGTTTCTTCAAGGACAACTTATATGTGCTTTGAAATAACCCATTATTTTCGTTTAATTAAATGTTTAGCTAAATATTTATATCATAAGAGAGCTACCGTACATAACTCTAGTGTAAAAAGTAAGCGTCAACTGTAAAAGTTAGCGCTCCTCGTAAAAGTCCATTACGAACTATATTTACGTCACCTGTAATAACGTGTCCAGCAGGACTATAGTTATAGGGCGAAGAAAACCATGAACACGAAGGGGGATTATTTTTCAGATAGTCGATATCCAGGCCATGTAAAGTGTTTTTGTAATTGAAAAGTTTGGAGCTATGGTCGATGTATATTTGTAGGAAATACATGGTGTAGTCTTTAACTTGAAATATGGTGAAATACAAGACTGGACCCTTTTGTGATTAAGAATATTACTTATATTAACCGCGTCAATTCCTTTATTGGCATATTGAAGTTTAAGGAAAAGACGGATTGTTTTAGCTGCATTTTCTTCCGTGAAACGTGCGGGTTTAAAAAGCCTATGATATGCAATATCCATAATCACAGATCCGAGCCTATATTCAGGTGACGAGGAATCTAAAATTGGATATTCCTTGGCCTTTTCAAGAAGACTATTTAAAAGTTTCAAAGGGACAGAGTAAAGTTTTGTTCGAATATGATGTAGACCTAACTGTTGATTTACATAAGGTAGTAATGAATCAAAAGAGACGTCGTGTATTGCAGGTTTATTGTACGAACGATGTCCATGACTACGCTTACGTCTCTGAGTATTGTTAAAAAGTCCCATCACATTTACATTATTACACTGCGGGCTTGAAAGATTTCCAACACTATCGACATTGTCATTACATCCATAGGGAGAGGCTGTCCCTAGTTTCCTAATCCAAAATTCTTCTCGTTGTCTACGGGAAGGTGTACTCAATGACGGACTATTTGTGTGGTGATAAATCTTTTCGAGAATTCTAACTTTCATTGATAAAACAGAATGATCAGGTGAATTAAAATGTTTATATAAAAGCTGCTGACCACCATGATTTATTTGAAATCGATGACCTGATATTCTTTTGTTAAGCGATCCCTTGGTTTCACCGACATAAATAAGTCCACACAGATTACATTCTATTCCGTAGACAACATTAGAAGATTTGCAGTTCAGATTTTCCCAAGTTTTGGTATAGAAGCTCTGTCCAGTAAGATTACTGGTGAAAGAAGTGTCAGTTATCAAAATGTCACAGGTTTTACAGTTTCGCACAGAACATTTTGAAACCGAAGACATTGGATCAGAAAAGGAATTATCCAATATATCTGTAATAGAAACTTTACACTCTTTCAATTTGGTATATTATTTATTTTTTTAACCAAAACTGGGAATCTGAAGACTGTACATATGACATATGTTTAATATCCCTGAGGATAATCCGAGGGACACCAAATGAACTCCTTGAGTCTGGGTCCCTTATAGACTCAAAGGAGTGACGCCTTTTTATACTGGGCGACGCGCCTGCCAGTATCATTTCGTTATTCTGTGTACTCATGCATGAATAAGTACCGAACGACAAGTATCCTTGGGGACAAACTGTCCACCAGCAGAGATACATGTTCGGTGGTTTAAAGAAGGATATGGAGATAACGAACAGTATTCAATCTCAACGTCCATTAAACAATATACAAAATAAGAGCAGAGCAAACACGGACCTCCGAAACATCAGAGGTGGGATCAGGTGCCATGGAGGAGTGAGCATCCCCTGCCGACCGGTCACACCCGCCGTGTGCTCCTTGTCATGATCAGAAAATAACGGAAAAAATCCGTCGTCAATTCAGTGTATAAATAATGGACTAACAATTGGTATGAAAAACGTCAGTCAGCATTTGACTCAATGATAAATTGTATTTGCTGACAAGGTCATTGTATCGACCATAGAATTTACGAAATGATGACTTTAAACGAGACTGTTGATATTCTTGTTTCATCAACTTGCTTGTCAATAATTTACCTCGTTTAAGAAATTGTTCATACGTAGAGCACGCTCTCAACTAAGATATATATACTCCGTATGCAGGTGATGAAGGTATATTGCTGCATAAGTAAGGGAAGTTGACGATAGAAAAGTTAAAGTCATCACGTTTATCATATAGCTTGGTTATCATTATAGAGAAAGCATACAAAAAACTGGGGCTTCTTAAAAAGACTAAAATTTTAGTGTGTCAAGAGATATGTTATCTTAGATGTATAATCTTTTATTTAAGAAATAGAAAACAAGTTTATAAACTTCAATGGGAATTGAAGTGGGTCGGTCATGTGATCAAATCCTGTGAAGGCCGAAGGTCTTCTCAGAAGATTTGATCGCGTACCGACCCACTTCAATTCCCATTGAAGTTTATAAACTTGTTATTTATTACTTATATACACATTTGAGATTGACAATTTAATCTTAAAATAAATATATTCGGATATAAATATTGCACTAACCGGTCGCCGTAGATTTCCGTCAAAAGTTCGCAAGGTGTAAATCGGCTTGAAAGGCGGTTACGCTTCGAATTCATCGAGCTTAGAATTCTATTTCGAAGGGAATATTTTGTTAAGGGCTACTTGTGATCCGTAATTGTGAACAGATTGTTATCTGGGAATATTTTTGTTTGCGAAAATTGATCATTAATGTTGAAAAGACACAAGAAACACGTTCGAGGATAAAAAGTTGGAGGAATTTCGGTCGCCTGAAAGGGATGGATGGATCCGATGGATTGAGACACTTGTCCGAGCCAGTTAGCCTAATCAAGCATTGAATTTGATCAAAAACATTCAATCTACGATTTCAGTAACTAAAGGCATATTTATGATATTAACACGGAGACACTGGCGACAGTTTACATTGAAGTACGACAGCGCCGATCAAGGTGTTTCTCGGCTGTTCGTGGCGTGATTGCAATGCTTTGATATTTTCTAACAGATTTACACATTTGTCGTGAGTAGAATTTAATGAAAAAATATAGTTTTAGGCAATATCATGAAGATTTAACTTAAGGTCTAACAAAAATAAGGATAAACAAAAAAGTTAGAGACTGTGCAGCTGACAAAAGTGACATACAACTTGTAAACAAATGTTTGTTTCTATCGGACTGGTATACTGAGTATATTCTCTATGTACACAGGTTAAATCGATCACCAAAATATGTATGAAGTACTTGTTCACGTTGTTAATAAAACAATTATTTCCCTTGCTTATTTTGTTCATTTTTATACATGAAAAGCAAGTCATTTTATATTTATAAGTAACGATAGATATTATTGCGCCGTGTGATTCGGCCATGTATTGACCTCTGACCTCCGACAAACTTCATACAGAATTGAAGATATTATCTCTCTGTATGTTTATATAGTGGAAAAATACCACAAATGTATATATTAGATCATAACTTGAATATGCTGTTGAATTTGTTCTGGATGCACAAAAACAGATACAACGACTGTATTGAGAATCTTGAAAAAGTACAATTATTTGCTGCAAGAATAGTTACTGGGCTTACAATTATTGCTTTAAGATATTCATTATATTTGGAATCAGGTTGGGGACCATTGGGATATAGAAGAAATACAGCAAGAATAATAACAATGCATAAAATGCACAATAATTTAGTAACTTAGTATTTACAAAATTTAGTACCTGATACAAGAGGCAATATTTCAGGATACACTAACCGGAATTCTTTAAATTATCCATTGCCAAAATACTGATAAGAACTATATAATAAATCGTTTATTCCCGATACTGTTAGAAAGTGGAATTCCCTTAGTGTTAAAACAAGGGAGGCAATTGCAACTTCTATAAAATTTTTTAAAAACTATCTGCAAAATAGTAATGTAAAACCTCCGAAAGATTTTTCTTACGGAAAAAGGTTTTTGAACATAATTCATACAAGATTAAGACATAACTGTATTTTAAATTCTGATTTATATCGCTGTAACCTAATAACCAGTCCTAATTGTTCGTGTGGACTACTAGAAGATGTAGAAGATGCATATCATTTGTTCTTTGTTTGTAAATATTATGTAAAAGCAGGAAATTCCTTAATGAAGAAGCTATTGTCATTTAATCATATACATGTTATAGATGTACATTTAATACTATGGGACGATGATTCTCTTACTATTGAACAAAATACTGAACTTTTCAAGACTATTTAACTTTCTTAAATAATGTCGTCGTTTTTTAAAATAATTTTACATTTTTCCTTCATACTATCTTAAATTATATTTGTAGATTTAAAGAATTTATTTTTTTACCTTTCTATTGCTATGATGTATACAATGTATGTACAAGTGTAGTAGACCACATGTATATATGTTTTTTTTATTTTGGCAATTTTACAAAATGTTGTATTAGAAGAGAACTATCTAAGTTACTGAACTTGTGTCCGATCCTTTTGAGTTTTTCAATTCAATTCAACATATTATATACTGACCAAGGAGGGGGATAAACAAAAATTTATGTTCTTTTGTTAATAATGGTGATTTTTCAAATAAAAACCTACATACAATGTAAAAGATTTATCCTGATAAAGCAAATCCCAATATATTAAATTAGAAAACATGTTTTTTTTTATTTTGGCAATTTTACAAAATGTTGTATTAGAAGAGAACTATCTAAGTTACTGAACTTGTGTCCGATCCTTTTGACTTTTTCAATTCAATTCAACATATTATATGCTGACCAAGGAGGGGGATAAACAAAAATTTATGTTCTTTTGTTAATAATGGTGATTTTTCAAATAAAAACCTACATACAATGTAAAAGATTTATCCTGATAAAGCAAATCCCAATATATTAAATTACAAAACATGTAAATACTAGTTTGGATAATAAAGAATACTTCTCTGAATAAACTCGAAAACTTCTATCATATGATTTTTTTCACATATTCTCATTTTCACAGAAAACTTAGCTTTGAATAAACCAGCTTGGCAACAGACTAACTGGCCAGATTTCCCTGTAGCTTGGGGAGCTGCAAAGGCGGTAGACGGACAATTATCAAATCGTGCACCGGGAGGCAATCAGTGCACAATATCAGGTCCTAGTCAGTCAACAGCTGAGTGGAGGGTAAATCTACAGAGCGTGGTCAGCATCAGCCACATCAACATCTTCTACAGGACGGATAATACACCTAGTACGTAGAAAAGAAATATGGCATTCAGTCTGATCGTGACAAGAGCCTAGTGACACGGTGGGTGCGACCGGTCCACGAGTATATGCTTAATCTTTCATGACACCTGACCCCAACTCTAGCTGTGCAATCCTTCAAATATAAAGACAAATAGCCTAGTACCTCTTGAAAACCCTTTATATACTTATATTTTAATGAAGATTTCGTGTTCAGAGTGGTAATACTCAGTAATTTTCGTACTCTACCAGATACCTCTCTATAATAATTATTCCATTATTTCCCATTTTTAGCTTTGCATAATTACGAGTAAACAATGGAGAATTGACAATCTCTATGGACATTTTTAACAAGAAAGTACGATCCTTTTGAAACAAATTAATCAGCATAATGTGTCTTATATTGTGTTCAGGTCCTGGTGCTTTCTACAATCGCTTTGCTGGATTTTTTGTGTACGTTTCTAATTCTACAAGAAGACAGGACGGCCACCTTTGTTTCCATGAGCTACAACAAGTGAACGGTACACCGACAGAGAACCAGACAATAAACTGTCCTGTACATGGACAGTATGTTATATACTACAACGAACGTAGGAGACTGGCTGTCACATACCCAACTTACTATTCTACATATGCGTTTAGCGAACTATGTGAATTGGAAGTTATTGGTAAGCCTTGATAAGCTTTTGAAAGTTTTACTTATCGTATATTATTCCAGTGTATAGCGGTATACATGTATACGGGAAGGTAATTGTTAAATTTTATCTGCAGGATGTTCTGATCCACGATTCCATGGGGAAAACTGTAATCGGCCATGTTCAGAGAAATGCCAGGAACAGAGATGTAACATCACAACGGGGGAATGTCTGGGCTGTATACCGGGGTATCAAGGGCCCATGTGTGATCAAGGTAAGCGAATTAGTAAATTTTTATTGCGTTTTCAGGGATATAAAGGTTCCTTTTGTTCTTGTTTGAACAATGCCAATTTATAACAGTACGACGTTTAACTCTTGACACGACATAGTCCAGACTTTTTACTACCATTTCTTATTGTGATATCAAAAATATTTTTTATATAACTTGGTGGGATGTCTTAGCAGTACCCCAGGGTCTTATGTTGAGGTCACAAACATCATATCTTTAGAAGTAGAGATGTCCAGCATTAGACGAAAGAATAGCGCTAAGAAATCCCACCAAGTGATATTAAAATATTTTAGATATCATAATTAGTAATGGTAAAGTCTGGACTATGTCGTGTCCAGAGCTAAATGTCGTACTGTTTTATGCCTTTGGAATGTTTTATCTTAAAATAAAAAATAAGGGCATTCCTGCATCGAAAATAAAGGTTCTTATTTTCCAACAAAATAAATATTTTCTTGTTTTGCAAACTCTCTTTTAACAGAACTGAAACTTTAAAAACGCAATATTTAAATGTTACCACTGTCAGCCAAAACACTTAGTTGCCTGGCCAAACATAAGCTTCTTAAATTAGACAAATAATAATTTTAGTGAGAAAAGCCCTTATGTAATTAAAGATACTTGAATTTTAGAAAAAATACAAAATTTATATAATTTTTACGTTTCTCAGCACTCCAATAACGGATACTCATCGCCAGTCTTGATTTTTGATAATCAGATAATCTTTTGAAAAGCTTTAGAATTATTTGTGTACTTTCTATGCTTTATTTTTACATTTATATTGATAAAAAATTGTATATAATTTCGGTTGTTTTATTTGTCCTTTCAGTATGTGACAATAAGAGGTACGGTCTGGAGTGTTCCTCTACATGTGGTAACTGTAGTGACGGGGCGACCTGTTACCATGTCAACGGAACGTGCCTAAACGGATGTGACGTAGGAGTAGAGGGCGAAAAATGTCAGACTGGTGAGGCTTGTCATTGATATTTTAAGGAAGTTTTTGTTTTTCGATTTGTTTTTCATTACATGTAAATAAAAATTTTATGTTAACTGTAATGTTTAGAATTAAGGTCTTCATACCAGTATATTTTAAAAAGTCTACATTAACATTAAAATCCTGATTTTTGAATCTTAGGAAATTTGATGAAAGAGCAATAAAATTTTAAAGCCGTTTTTTTGTTACACATAACAAAGATTTTTGTTGTTGTAAATTTGCTAAAAAAAATGTGTATGTAAATTTTCTATGTGTGAATCCTTTATGAAATAAATTGTATTAAACCTTGTATTATAAAATCAAAAAGGCAGTCCACCGAAAAAAGGTTATATTCCTTTAATAGTCGGCACATCAAATGTGACGATTTTTGAAACTTGATGGAAAACAAGCTCAATGTATTCCAAATTTTGTGTTCTTGAATTTCCCTGTATAAATCATTGAATGTAGATCAGAAACATAGAACTGTTAAGGATGATTGCACTTGAGCTATTAGAGTTGGGTCTCGGTGTTGTGCGCAAAATAATATCATGAATTTCATTAAATTTATGTTGTAGAGGTATTAAACAATGTCATAAGATTAGGTTTTGGTATAATATATTACATGAAAAAACTAAATAATGCCGAGCCACACTAGCTTTTAGGGGGCCTAACAGTTTTGTAACATTTCAATTGTTATTCTTATGCATACCAGTTTTCATCGACATTGTTTACACCGAGAAACAATTTGGCCATTGGTCTCATTTGCACAGAATGTGTATTCTAGTTTAAACTTATACAATCCAAAGGACAATGTGAGCTAAGTTGCAGCTCATATCTAATTTTTGAAAAAGTCTCAAAACTACCGTCAAATTAGCCACTAAATTAACAGGTCCCACAGTGTCAACGATTGATATCATAATCACTTTACTCACGTGACATTCCACAGTTCGATACGCCAACGCCTTCATTGAACATTTCATTGTGTTTGTCATTTGAATTTCTATTCGGACAGTATCTATCGTACTTCCAACTTCAAACTATGGAAGATTTTTTTTATCAAATTTTAATAAGGTTCGGTTACATGTCTCTTATTTTACTGTGTATTTTTCGTTAGGAGCGTTTTGAAAGAATTCTGGTACAATGTATTGGTAGTGAGATAAGTAAATATAGGCTCATGTCGTCTCAGTATTGTTGTCTGCAGAGCGATACATCGACCATATCCCTAAACACTAGAATCATTTATTATTTGTGCACCATGAAACTACACAATCTATCTCTTCACCACTCAAATTCGTAATGGAGCATCTGATTGCGAAACAATCATACATGTATGTGCTATTGTTTACATTCCATCCATGAGATTTAAATATTCCCACCTATTTGCGGGTACCTTGAATTCGATAGTGGTCCTATTCAAATTTCCGGAATTTAAGGCTTATACATGTTCTTTTCAATGGCATTATCTGTAATAATAAAAATATATATGACAAAAAATTCAAGGCGTAAATATCAAAAGCATATGCTTGCACAATATTCATACATTAATTTAGTGATATATTGTAATGTAAAGATTAAAATTGTTAGCCTAAAAGGTTCGAAATGACGTACTAATGTGCACTCATTCTTAAATATATTTTCAACAGGTCTTCAATTCTTTCTGAACTTAATCAAGAATTATTTCATCTCAAAATTAGACAGATCTTTTTTTTTCTTTTTATTTCAGAACGAAGTAGAAACAGCTAAATTAATGTTATTCCTAAAATATATGGGGGTAACTTCTATATTCATATTCAATTTAAAATGGCTTCTTCAGATATTAGTCGCCTTATCGTATTAGTATTGATGAAGGAATAAACCTGTTGACACTGTCCTGTTAGATTCATATAGTGTTTATCTCCCATTCGGAAACATTTTTTTCATGAATTTTTCTGGAAGAGTCCCTTTAGTAAAAGAATTTCACCATCATATTGTATGTTGAGAATTTTTTCTTGCTTTAACAGAGTGTCAAACTGGGTATTATGGTAAAGACTGCAGAGAAAGCTGTAGTGTAAATTGCCAACGTCAAGACCAGTGTAACAGATTTAACGGTGAATGTTACGGCGGGTGTCAACCAGGATGGAAGCTTCCTAACTGCCAAAAAGGTAAATTATATGGAAAAATATATTTAAAATGAGTTAAAAACTCCAGGAATGATATTTTTATGCCCCATTATTTAGGATTTTTGGTGAGGGATATAGATTTTCCTGTACGTCTGAGTGTCTTTTTAGCTCACCTGAGCCGAAGGCTCAAATGAGCTTTTTTGATCAAAATTTGTCCGTTGTCTGTCGTCGTTGTTGTCGTTGTCATGAACTTTTCACATTTTCATCTTCTTCTCAAAAACCACAGGGTCAATTTCAACCATAATTGCCAGAAAGCATCCTTGGGTGAAGGGAATTTACGTTTGTTCAAATGAAGGGCCACGCCCTCATTCAAGCGGAGATAATTGGGAATTAGTGAAAATCAACGTTTAACATAAAATGTGTAGGAACATTCTTTAAAAATCTTCTTCTTAAGAATAGCAAAGCCATAATCGATCATATTTATATGGAAGCATCTTCAGGTAGTGACGATTCAATTTTGTTCAAATCATGACCCCCGGGGGTAGGGCGGGGCCAAAATGGCCGATCAAAGTTTTACATAAAAGTACATAGGAAAATTCTTTTAAAAATCTTCTTCTCCAGAATAGCAAAACAATAATTGATCATATTTATATGGAAGCATCCTGAGGTAGTGTAGATTCAAGTTTGTTCAAAACATGACCCCCGGGGGGTAGGGCGGGGTCAAAATGGCCGATCAAAATTTTACATCGAAAAATATATATGAACATTCTTTAAAAAAAAATCTTCTTCTCAAAAATTGCAAAGCAATAATTGATCATATTTAAATGGAAGCATCCTCAGGCAGTGTAGATTCAAGTTTGTTCATATCATGACCCCTTGGGGTAGGGCGGGGCCACAATCGCCGATCAAAGCTTTACATAGACATCTATAAGAAATTTCTTTAAAAATCAACTTCTCAAGAATAGGAAAGCCATGATTGGTCATTGGAACAATTTTGCATTTTAACTTTTTAATAGTAAACCGATTTCTACTTTTTCCTAACCACAATGCTCAGGTGAGCAATGTGGCCCATGGGCCTTTTGTTTTTGATTTAGCACTAGGCTTTTCATAGTTCACAAATGCAATATATTTAAAGACCTTTCTTTTGATATTAACAAAACAATTTCGACCTTTTGATTTTGTGTACCATACAGGGACGTAAGTTTTTTTTTTACAAACATCTTGTTTTGAACATTTCTTGTAATATATATGAAGAAAATATTCGATCGGAATTAAATTTCGTGGTGAGTACTTAATTTGCACTTGTATTGTAACATTTCGGAAGGGAAAGAGAAAAAATTCCGATAACAAAGAAATCTTGTTATGTGAAAATACATGTTCGATGTAAACTT